AAAAATAAAAATAAAAAATAAAATAAAATAAAAATAAAAATAAAAAATAAAATAAAATTAAAATTAAAATTAAAAATAAATAAATAAAAATAAAAATAAATAAAATAAAAAATAAAATAAATAAAATTTAAATAAAAATAAAATAAAATAAAATAAATAAATAAAATAAAATAAAAAATAATTTTTTTATTTTTATTTTTATTTTATTATATATATATATACATATATACATATATACAAATAAAATAAGTATCACAGAAGAAGCATTAATTGTGACTTGATTAGGAAGAACAAAGGGGAAGGTGTTGCCCAGGTGCTGATTAAAATGGGCTGTGTATGGCTTGTAATAAGAAAAAATTGATCAGAGGACAATATTATATGTTTGCTTTATCCTTAAGATGGCACTATAAACTCACAATTCCTTTGTAGAGAAAGATTACATACACACAACTGATTTATCCAAAAATTTCACTCAAACCGTATAAACTTGAACGGCTCTTGTGTATAAGATACTAAATGCTTGCATGTAATATTTGCATTTAATCTTTACAGCAACCTAAAGAAGTAGAGTCAAGCATTTGCCCCATTTTGCAGACTAGAACTAGAAGTCGGAGAGGGTGTAAGTGACTTGCCCTCAGTCACAAAGCCTGTAAAGGCAAAACCTGGATTTAAACTGAAACAGCCTGAATCTGGAACTGTGCACTTAATCACTATGCTGTGTCACCTCTTCCTAGTAACCCACATGATAAAAATGCCACGATAAAAAAGGTACTAATGGCAAATATCACCCAATTGTTTCTTGGGTAGCAAACACTTCTCTCACGCACCACTCAAGAAAGAACTTGACTTCTGCTTTGCCATAGGTGTAAGATACTTCATAACCATTTTTAAGGTGCTGGACAGGACTTACCCGTGAGCTGTGAACTTCTTTGCTAATAACTCCTCTCCCCTCCCCAACTCCACACACATATACAACTCCAAGTCTATAGTGCATGGTTCTGTATGGGGCCAGCATTGAACACTCCATGTGAGACCAGTAAAGTGATTAAATACTGATCACTTTTTGAGAGTCTGTCTATCTACATGTGTGTGATACACTGATGGCAGAGCTATGAGTGTTTAATAGGATTGGCAAGCCGAGCTGTCCAGAATTTTGAAGTAGTTTCACTATCTCTTCTGGAGAATGGTTTAAATGCCACCCATTTTCCTGGAATAGTGTGGAGAAAAGAAGTCATGAAATAAGCCTCCACAAAGCCCTGACCCCTCTCTGAGCTGCCCTAGGGAGTTAACTACACTCCGTGGAATGTTCGCCGAGTGATCATTGTTTGCAACCCCAGGGATGCCTGGGAACAGCCTGGCACATGACTACAGCAAGTGCCCAGGACTTACCTATGTCCTGACACGTGGTTGGCGTACAAGAATAGAGAAATGAATATACCATTGGTTATACCCTGGGCTTGAACATCTTTTCACTCTGCAGCAATCTTTCTCTTTTAGGTGGATTTGACTGGTATTCTGCCGCCTTAGAAAACACAGGGCTCCATGTGCTTCCTCTTGTTTCTTCAGAGACCTTGAAAAACAGAAAATTTTGGGAGAGCGCCAAGCATTTTCTGACGGAGACAGGAGAGGCAAGTGCAAATCTCCGTTTCTCCCAAAGACAGTTTTCCTGATCTCCCCACGTTGACTGCGAACACGCCATCTCCTTCTCAACGGAAGTGTACCCTCCATGCCTGAGCTAGGCTAGGAGGGGGTCCAGTTGGGTCGGGGTGTTGGGACAATGCCCTGTAAATAGGAGACTCAGGTTTGGAAATTTCCGGGTTGGCTCACAATAAGCGTGGGACTGCAGGTTCCTAATCAGGTTGGAGACTCCCACCACCTTCTCATCATCACTGCCACGAATGACATGCTGTGAATCATGCTGAATAGTCGTGTGTTTCAGGGCCATTGTTGGTCCATAAAGAGAAAAATGTGTAAAATAGGAAAATACTCCACTCCAGGCCAACTCAACTCTAACATGACGTGTAGTTGGCCCACGAAGCACCTACTATAGCTGACAGCCATTTTTTCCTACATGAATGGCTTCCTGTGCTGGAGGTAGGGCTAATGACATCAACAAAACCAAACACACAGTTGATCTGTGGTGGCTTTGAGGGTGTGGGCTCTATATCGTGTCATCTTTTATTGACTCTTCTCCAGACTGAGAGGGGAGAGGACACTAATTTCCACTGAGGAGGAGCTTGCCTCAGTTTCTCCTTCCATCGCACCTAATGTTAGAACTAGGGTTTGCAGCTCCAGTTGTGAGCAAGAAGAGAAGGTGAGAAGGAAGTGAAGGCCATAAGTGGAGGGAAGTACAGAAGCCCAGGTGTGGACCAAGGATGCTTTCGGATGGGGCTTGGGGCTCAGCAGCCTCTCCAATCCCCCCCTTTCATATACCCTGGTTCCTTGTGTCTCTCGAGGGCAGAAACTGTACCCAGAAGGAGGAGGCCAGAGTTGGCACCTCGACCCTCACACAGGCACGGATTCAGCTGGAGCGGCAGTTTAGGCATGGAAACCTCATGTCCCAGACAATCATTAAACACACAACGTGCCTGACTGCCAAGCTAGAGCGACACGGAGTCAACCGATATCGGGCCCATTCCATATGACGGGGTTTATAAGTATGCATGTGATTAAATCCATTTGTGCCCCCTGGGGCATAGAGATGGGCGGGACAGCACCCTTGGCACCCCTTCCCTACCCTAAACAGGGATATGGAGAGTCAACCACTCTGTAGCATCCTTCAATTTATAAACCACTTTATTCCAGTCCCTTGAACATCACAGGCCGGCTTGATTTCAGACAGAGCAGAATCCATCCCGTAACACAGCAATGACAATGAACAGCCCAGCAGAGGAGTGACATAAACCTTTAGGCATCCAGCTCTCTGTGTGCTGCAGAGTCCCTTGGCCAAAATGAGTGCATTGCATTAGTCCTACAAAGGCCTTCCCAGGAAGGAGGAGAAGCAAAACAACCCTCGAGAAAATACAGACAGGGTCAATGGCAGGCCAGGATGAGGGCTATTTCCGTATATCCCAGCGTGTCGGCGTTCATGAGCCATGGGTCTGGCTCTTGTTTTCTTTCCTAAACAGCTGGAGACCCTCTTCCCTGCTCCCCATTCCAGCTTTAGGTTCTAGGAAACAAAGTGAGTTTGGTTCAGCAAGATATCACGACCAAGGGCAGAGCCCAGGTGCGTTTCCCAGACATTAACTCGCTCCACCATCTAAGGAGAACGAAAAGGAGCGTTTAGGTCTGCAATCAAGATGGGGAGAGTGAGGCGTGCCTCCTGGACACTATCGATCGAGGTGCTTGGTCCCCTCCCTCACTCTGCCCTCCATGTCATAGGTTAATTCCCTATTTTTCAAAACTAGATTTTCCCACCGGGGCCACGGAGGAACTTGGCAAGTCTACGTGTAAAACAATTGTGAGAAACTGACACTCAGAGGAGGATTAAAATTATTTTACCGAGTCCAGGTCTCAAATTTCATCCTGCAGAATGGGTTCATCTTGGTCAGCCCCACAAATTTGGATTTTTGCTACCCGTGAAAGTGGATTCAAGTAATACACAAGAATCTGGAGGTTAGAGTGGGCTCAGCATCATCTTCCTCGTGGTTATGATGTCTACCTTCTTGTGGTCCTTGGTCTACAGGAAGTAGTGTGGCAGGAGACAGACTCACTGGGGTCCTTTGCTTGGGGTAGGTTCTCCCCATCTACACCCTTGAGTGTTGGGGTTTCCTCATGCCTACTGCTTATTAGAATATGGCTCCCCTAGAACCAGCAAATTTTCAATTCAAATGAGTGTGTCTGAGGTCACCAGACTAAACAGCAGCTCAAATTTGTGCTGTCACTTCTGGAAATAGAAATCTTCAGTCAAAGAACATGGTGATGGAAAACACCTTTGGATTCTCCATCGTGGGCCTTGAAAACCACAGATGCACTCGCCCAAGCCTTCTTCATTATGAATCAGATGATTGTCCAACCCCTGACTCCGTAGAGCCAGTTGGGGCATGGAAAGTCGTCCTCCCAGATACGACTCCCTAACCATTCATGTGGACCAAACCATTGGGAGGTCCTGAGAACTTATGCTATATTTTTCCCAGGTCTACAGAATGTCGATCTGCTTAGACACCTCCAATGTAACACCACCACCGAGCTGGGGGGCCACCCATCACCTCGCATCTCTCATATGATAAACCGTCCGGTGCTCCATTTGCTGGTTCCCACTTCGGCCTGCCCTGCTTCTATTCTCCAGGCACTGCTACTCTGGAAAAACATTCAACATGAAGTCTGGGCTAGTCAGGATGACTTGGTACTTTTCTGGAATATATAAAATATACCTGCTGATTGGTGCATTTGTGCAAAGACAGATATGACTTTAAAACAAGACACAGACATTCATTATAATTGGCTTACTTCACAATAAGCTACCAGAAACAGTCTTTTGTAATAAGATTGGATTAGTGCTCACTAAACATGCATTTCATTTGAACAAGGCGAAACACTTAATTTGGTCTGCAATACCCAATATTTTATGTACAGCATTCTTTTTTTTTTTTTAAATCACAAGAAGCAACAAGATGGGTCTGGTCTTGGAATATAAGTTACCATTGGTGATCACTTTCCAAAGAAACTCATCTTAGCTCAACTAGTGTAAACCTGTGAAAAAATAGCTGAGCCATCTTTTTCTCTCCACTATTACTTTATCTTGAAATGTTCACAGCTTAGAAACTACAGCCTGCTGGGAAGGGGGTGGGGCAGGCCTGCGGGGGGGGGGGGGGAATTCCCCAGGCCCCTTTTCCAGCCTGGCCCCGGAAGGTTCCTCATTCTCAGGCTGGGGATCCCACATCTGGTCCGTCACCCTTGGGGCATGTGTGACAACAGACCGGGAGGTGGGGGGGTGGGGGGGGGGAAATTTTTTTTCAAACAAGCCCCTCAAAGCTTGCAGTAGCATGGGCTGCGCCGGATTGGGTTCCCTTCTCCTGCCTCCTCGCGTCTTCGGTTTTAGAACAGAGACATTAGAATCAAGAGAAAATAATAATAACGATGAAAATCGTCAGAACAACGAACACCACAAAGTCTGTGCACGACAGCACGGTCCATGCGCTCCACGAGGCGTTGGGGCTCTGGGCATTCCCACGAAGCGTCCACGACAAAAGAAGCTGAAGGCGGCTCGGAGGAAGGTGCATCTGACTGCGGGGGGAACAGCATCACCGTCAATGTTGTTTGGCAAAAAAAAAAAAAAAAAATTGTTAAAAAGAAAAATCAAAAGGGAGCAACACAAGCAGCTCTATGATTCGTGGGTGCAGGCTCAGAACTGGCCGGCGCTGCTGGGGTCGCACTGCAGGAGGCGCACGATGGACGGGTCGCTCTTGGCCCCTCGGATGAACTCTTCCAGGGAGAGTTTGCCTAGAAAGCAAGAGGATGGAGCACCGGTGAGCGGCGGCAGGTGGCAGCCGGAGAGCTCACACTCATCCCACCGCATCTCGCATCTCGGAGGCATGATGGCTCCCCTGGTCCCTGCCATCCAACACCTGCCGTGAGGCCCACACTCTCCTCCCTCCCGACGTGAGGCCCGGGGGGCGGGGGGGGGGGCAGCTCTTGTTCAGGAGCAGAGCCAGCCCCGCCCCTGGCGGGCACACTTCTTCCTGGGAGCCCCCGGTGTGCCTGCCCTGGCAGGTGGCCCTGCCCTGAGCCCTGCCCTCCCGGCTTCTCCAGCTGCACGTGCCCTGGATGCGCTCACTTCGTATCTGTGGAAGGAATGTCCCCTCAGCCTCTATGAGACCGAGCTGGGCTCTCCCGGCACCAAGGCCGTTCCTTCCCACCATGTCACGAGGAGCCTCTGGGCTCCTTCAGGTCACCTGGGTTACTTGGGTTTGCTGTGTGAGATGGGGGGGGAGGGAGATGCTGATATCTGAGGGAGGGCCCCTCTACAACAGCTGCACCTCCACCGAGGTAAGGAAAATAAAGGGGTGTGTGTGCAAGGCAGGGGGTGCCCCCTGGAACCCTCTCGTCAATCAGGGTGCTTTCCTCCTACCCTGGCTGGCTGGGAGAGAAGGACTCAGCCACCTGGGGCCCACTCCTACAGTGTCCCTTCCAGGAGGGAGGCAAAGCTTCTCCCCTATTCCCGGTGCTTCCAGGGGGGCCTCCTTGGGAGGAGCTGCTGGTCCTTTCTCCTTACTTTGCCCTCTTCTTCCTCTTGGCAGGAGCTGCCGCAGGGAGGACTTGCTCCCCTCGGTCCTCCAAGGATCAGTGCCAGGCTGCCCTGCTCGCTGCTGCTGTGGGTTTGGTCCCCATGTCCGCAGAGCTGCATCCTTCAATGAAGCTCAGTCCTCTGGCCTCTATTATTGCTCTATCTGCCACCTAATTCCAACTCTAGGCAGGAGGGGGGCCATCTATTAGAGCCCTCACCCTCTCCCCCAACAAAATATGTCTTTCCCTTAGCCACAGCCCTTCCCCAGGTCCTAGCTCTTGGTTAACCAAATTCACCTTTCTTTACATGAAGGAGAAAGGCGGGGATTTAACTATCTACTAGTGGCCTGGTGCATGAAATTCATGCACTCGGGGAGGAGGGATCCCTCAGCATGGCCTGTGCCCTGTCACAGTGCAGGAGCCCCACGATCCATTGCCCCAAAGCGGTAGGCCCTGCCCACCCATCTGGGGCTCCTCAATGGATTGCCCCAAAGAGGTAGGCCGGAGCCTGCGGTGGAGGGGCCTCTCCGTGCCTCTGGACCCCTGGGCCAGCACAGGGGGTGGGGACATGAGCCTCATGTCCCGGGCCCGTTGCCGGGGGTGGGGATGTGAGCCTCATGTCTCCGGGCCAGTGCAGGGGGCAGGGACGCGAGCCTCACGTCCCGGGGCCGGTTGCTGGGGTTGGGGATGTGAGCCTCATGTCTCCAGGCCGGCGCAGGGGCGGGGATGCAGCCTGCTGATCGGTCATTCCGTGAAGGCATCCCGACCAATTTGCATATTATCCTATTATTAGATAGATTTACTTTCAATCTGTAGAGCAGGTGCCCTCTAAGCCTTGTGTGTTGGCCCCATATGTGAGCTATGCCCAGACTCGCACAGTGGTTGAAACAGTGTCAGCTTCCTCTGCTCTGGAGCTTGAAATCCAACTTTCCTTTCACTTTGGTTTGCTTTGCCGCCCCTTGCTGGGTCTGAAGTGTGGGGTCACCTTCAGGGAGGAACCTGATGTCCACCTCAGCCCCCTCCCACCTCCACCCACCCTACGGCTGTGAGAACCCACTGGGCTCCAGGAAACCCGACACAGAGCATGCACAAGCCCCTCCCCACTTTCTGATGAGCTGTCCTGCAAGGACCCAGCCTGCTGTGGCCTGGGCTTGTCCCCACCCTGATCCTCCTCTGAACTACACCACCAGGGAGGAGGCAGCATGGGCTACTTGTACAAAGAAAGGGCCGTGAGCCAGGTCCTCGTGGCCAATACCGTGTCCTTGAGCGACATGTCCCTGCCTGAACGCCCCAGCCCCTCCAGCAGCCCCCACCCTGAGCAAAGCAAAGCGGCCTGGGCCTCCTACCATCTCTGTTGGTGTCCATCTGGCGGAAGATCTTTTCCGTCCTTTTCTCTGGGGTTGACTCATCCTCAGGCATCTTCATTACGGAGGAAACCATCTTGTAGATCGCCTGGAGGCAGAAACGACAGCGTGGGGTGTCAGAAACATAGCCTGGAGGGGCCCACAGTAGCCCTATCATTAAACCTCCCAAACGCACGGGTGAGGTGAAGGGAATGTCCTCGCTTCACACAGAGAGCTAGCCCTGTCCCCGCTGATCTGCTGTGGAAAACAGAGGCACAGTCACCGATGGGAGAAGCCAGGCCGCAGAGCTCATACCAGCACTGAAGAGCCTTCAGGAGGGACAGCTGGCGGGGAGATCCCTCGGGCCCCTGGGCAGCACACGTTAGGGTGCATATAGGTACCCTGGGAATCGTGACCATGCGGGGTCTGATTCAGGAGGGTGGGCTGGGGGCCTGAGGTCCTGCATCGCTAACAAGCTCCCGTGTGATGCTGATGCTGTCCTCTGAGGCCCGCGCTTCTAGGAGAAGGCTGCAGGTGGCATTCCTCAGGCCAGAGCGATGGGCTGGTGTCTGCTGTGGCCTCCAGCCAGGTCCTTCAGGGGGGGCAAACACCTGACCGTCTGCAAGTGTGAGCCCCCGGCAGGCATCCCCCTCCATCCAATGCTCTTCCCTTTGTATGGCAATCGTCTCGCATTCCTTCTCAGTGAGCTCCCACCTATCCCCAAGTGGGAACAATCTGTCATCCAAGTTTGGGATTAAATAGTTATGCATCTCAGGCTGGAGATAAACTGGGTGCATCTGAAATCTGCTGAGCAAAGGAGGGTTCTACTGAAAGAGTTTTGTAAGAAGTACTGACGCTATCTCCCCCACCACTTGGGGACTCCCCCTTTGGTACTCAGTATGGAATTTAAGCGCCTGAAAGGAGTTTTAGAAAAAGTAGGTTTTGCTCCAGGATAGGCAAAAAAATCTGGAAAGTTCTGGAACTTTGGGGGCAGTGGAACAGCTGGAGGGAGGAGAGAAAGGAAGGCAGCTGAGGGCAGGAAGCATCCAGATGGGAAATGTGGGAGCAAAATTGATACTAAAGGCTGAACTTATCTTTAGTCTTGTTTAGGATCAACCTGCCCCACGGCCCTAAAATGTTCTGGAGAAAGGAGGGTAAATATTCTAATCCTGGTGGTAAAATAAGAGTGAAAAATGGACTCACCCAGCGTGCTGACCCTGGGGCTGATCCCCCCCCCCCAGCTACTCCCCCTGTAGGAACCCCCAGGCCAGGCTTCTTGAGTCTGTCTTGAACCCATCAAAGCCCTCGCTGAACTCCAGAGCTGTCTCCACAGCGACTTCCTCTGGGAGAAAGATCAAGCTCACAGCTGTGGCCTTGTCTGGGATTATGGGTGCCACTGGGATAAACTTGGCCACAGTCAGCTTTCCCAAGAAACGTTCACTGAAGTGTGCCCTGGAGCAACAGGGGAGCCAGCCTCTGCCTTCCTCCTGGACCCCTGCTTGCCATCCCCTCAGCCCAGGTCTACACCTCCATCTCCTGGGGTTACAGTGCCATGTGCCCAGCTGTGGGATACCTGAAAGGCTATAGAGCTAGAGCTATTTTTATAAATGGGAGAAAGAGACGCTGAGCGTTCACAGGCCAGGTAAATATTTAGTAACAGGAGTGGAGAGCAGAAGTCTTTCCACACCAGGGATGCCTTGAGGTCTAGCACCCTTTCCTTAGCTTTTAGCTTCATTTCTTCTACATGGAAACTTTTCTGTAACTCTTGACCCAGTGTGTAGGCAATCAGTGGCACCAATTGATGAACACACACACACACACACACACACACACACACACACACACCTCACAGGAACTGCAAACTTACATAATCTAAATGTTCTGTAAATCCACAAGCTCAGAAATCTTAAAACAACAACAAACAGGATCTAGAAACCAGTATCGCACTAGATCATGTAAGTACAACCTCTTTGAAAGAGCAATCTGTGATGTGGGAAGAGCATGGATGAGCAACCTCAGGGCTCGTGGATTCAGGCCCCCGTCCACAGACCCTAGGTTAAGAAAATGCCTGCTCTTCATTTACTCTCCCACCCCATACTCAATCATTCATCCATTCACTCGGTCATACATCAAATATTTATTGATCAATTATCACATAGCAGGCCTTATCATCTATCCCATCCTTGCCAGCATGGTTTTACTTTTAAATAAGGCAGGCCAACATTACTAAAATAAAGAAATGAATGTAAAACTATTTTTGAAAGCAGTGATACAAAGGAAGATGTGTGGTTTTATGAGATGACATATTGGGGAAATGAAACCTTGTCAGGAGAATAGGCTGCCCCAAGGAATGATGGCTGAGCAAAAAGATGTAGAAGACACAGAGCGTAGAGAGGTAAAGGACAGAGGGAAACAGGTGTAGACACCTGAGGTGAGAGGAATGGTAAGAAGGCCAAGAGTGTGTGGGGAGTGTGGCTGGGGGTGTGGCTCCAGAGCGGGGAGAAACAGACCACTGGGACCTCACAGACCATGTTAAGGTCTTTGTATTTCTCCAATGAGCCACAAAAAGATGGAACTGCCAATAAATTTGAAATTTTTATCTATACTCACTTCCCAAATCCACCTCTATTCCTTACTTGCAAGCAACAGTGTTGAAAGAATTAAAATTGATTATTTATAGTTTAACATTTATTGAGTATCTACTATGTACAGGGGATGAGGAGTTAATCATCAACAAGACGAATATGCTCTTTCTCATTTTACATATCACCAATCCTCTGGCACAGGCTTGGGAGACATCATATTGAAGACCAAAAGCTTTCATTTTTATGACCACCATTGAGACGGGTATTGTGATTCTAGCAATGCCTTAATAATTGTTATGAAAGTCCTCACCTACACTGTCTGGGTCCCATGGTGGGCAGTAAAACCCACTTGTCTGAAGCATTTCTTGTAACTCTAAGCCTCTAAGAGTTGGACTCATAAAATTATCATGATGGGGTTTGATGGGAGGTCAACTGGGTAATAATCTAGAGATTATTCCCTAGAACTCTTGGTTGAACAAATGAATGAAAGACCAAGTAAACAAATGAATTTGTATTAGAGAATGAGGCTCTCACACTCAACAGCAGGTCTCCAAGAATTTTGGTCCTTAGCTATTAGGCAAAAGGAGTTGGGTTGGGACAGAGAAAGAGGGACAAGTTAATACAAAACAAAACAAAAAACACAAAGAAAGTCAGCATGCTCTTCCATGAATATATTTGCAAATGGGGCTCTGGAATGGAGCAAGAAGCTAATGTCGGAGTACACTGTGGGGTTGAGGAGGAAGTGAGGGCTCCTTTAAGAGGCTCACATTTACAGATGGCTCTCATAGCCCTCAGACTAGGTGTTGCTGGTTTTTGTTTGTTTTTAATGTGCATCAACTCACAGATAAGAATTACATAAAACCAGGTCTATGACGTGGGTAGTACTAGAGTAGTGAGCAAAGAGCTGAGGTGACAAGACCCAGTGGTCCCCAGAGTGAGTAAGTAGATGACAGCCTGGCAAGATCACATTTAGGGAATTGTCTGTTCCTTTGCTCCCTTCCCACGGCATCAACAACCCAGAGCTGATTGCATTAGAACTTCCAAATCCAGGACTCCACAGCACAAGGAGGGAAAAGACACAACTCCAGACAGCAATCTGTAACAAATCATGTCTTTTATTAGCTCCAATTCCATCTCCACCCCCAAATTTAATGGGATTAAACCAGAAGAAGCCAGGCTACTTCCCTACTTTATTTTTAGCAACATCAATGAGAGGCCCAGCAGGGACATCCTGTTTTTAATTAAACTTGAAGAACCCTATTCTTGTCTCTGGGTAAATGCAGAGCTCTGGGGCCCAGCTCTGGCTCTGTCCCTCACAGGCCCTGAAGCCAGGGGTCTTACCAGCTTCCTCATGGCCTATATTTTTCTTCCCTTTTCCCTCTTGGAATGTTGGGAAGGAAGGACTCACACCCTAATCCATAAATTCTGTTGGGGGGCAGGCACGTTCCAGGAGTTAAGGCTCAATCCTCTCTCTGAAGAAAACCAGACTGACTTCTCAGATGCAGGGTCTTCTAACAGGAGGGACATCCAAGGCCCCACAACAACCAACCAAGGGCAAGAGAAGTTAAGCAGTGCAGGGCTGTTCTTGGATTACAGGTCAAGGTCAGCATCCTGCTTCGAAGGCTATTACATACCCGGAAAGGAGGCCACGAGGGTCTTTCTTGGGAACACTTTTAAAACCGGGTGAAGATCTACATATCTGAATGGTGTAAGTGCTTATTTAGAACTATAAGAATATGTTAAATAATTAGCTTTCCTAATATTTGACATTTTTAAGCGTAAAAATATCTATCATGTTCAGAAAATTTTACATATGAAGTTTGAAGCTTGTTGCCAGTACAACAAAACAGCATACATATCAAATCGCATATATGTCAACATATGTGTAACTATCTATTGAAACAAATTTGCATTATTAACCGGTACACCTAGTAAAGTGTTATACAAAGGCAGCTTCGAACAGCCTCTTCCAAATAACCCTTTTCCTGTCCTAACCAGACATTCTGGAGTTGTGTTATAGGCCTTCATATATGGGGAGAAGCCAATGAGTGCTTTTGGAATGTGCACCTTGAAGTACCGGTGTAACATTTTATGATGTCCATTAACAGACATAGTAAAGGTGAAGATTTAGGTGGAATCTGTTTCTTCATCCATAATGGGGCCGAGGTTGTTGTGAGGATGAAATGAGATCATGCATGTGTACTTGGTTGACTAGTGTCCTGCAAAAATCCCTGTCTACCCACAACCTGTGAATGTGACCTCATTTGGAAATGGGTCTTTGAAGATATAATCAGGTTAAAATAAGATCATACTAGATTAGGGCAGGCCCCAATCAATTCGATGACTAGCGTCCTTAAAAGAAGAAAATTTAGACACGACATACAGAGAGAATGCCACGGATGATGGAGGCAGAGATGGGAGGACGCACCTGCAAGCCAAAAATCGCCAAAGATTGCCAGCCACCACCGGAAGCTAGGAAAGAGTCATGGGACAGATATCCCTCAGGTTTCTCCAGAAAGGACCA